AAAATATGAGGTCAGTTTGATTTCATATTTTTCTAAATATATATATATATACGTAAATTAAAAAGTCATTCCGAAGCGGGTGACGGGATTTCGATTCCGGCGACCGACAGCTTCTTACGGGCGACCCCCAAACATTAACTTTTCCCCTTTTAAGCGCCGACACACATGTGCAAAATTTTATCTAAATCCTAGTGAAATGTCTTATGTTCAATTGTGTATTTGAGTCATAGATCCGACAACATTAGTTGGACTTACATGCATTAAAGTCTTTTATCTTTAATTTGGGCAGCGAAATTTGTTTGTATATGCATTAAATTGGGCGATAAGATTTGCTTACATGTGACCTTTTTTAATTAAAATGGGTCCCACGCAACCTCCTTTTTCTTCTATAAATAGAAGATTATGGCTTATTTAATTTCATGCCTTGAGTTGATATAGGTAGCATTCATTAAATATATATGCTCTCACTATGTGAGCGTCTCTTCTTCGCTTCTCACTTTGTACATGATCAATTGTCTTCATACATCTACAAGATATAGGTAGCATTCATTATCATATGAACAGAGTTGATATAGTCAATTGTGTTGATAACAGAGAACAACCGAGGTAGGTGTATTCTTTTTTAAAGGACTATCACTACGATTAGCTGAGTATTTCATCATCATGCACCTCAGATGGTTATGCTACTGATTTAGCCATTTGAGTATTTCATCATCATGCACCTCAGATGGTTATGCCACTGATTTAGCCATTTAGTAGTTTTAGAATGGTATTATCTAAACAAGGTCAACAACATTTTGGATTCTCTCAGGCTACTGCTTATGATGGGTTGTCTCTCATTCCTAGCATAAACAATGTTAATGAGTTAGCTTCAATTCCTTTAAATACTCGGATGTTTGTCGCATCCAAGCTATGGACGCATCTGCTTAGGCTTGGCCCTAGTTTTAAGTTTCGTCTAGTCTCACCAAATAGTAGCACCGAAGTGAGCAACACTCAATTAACTTGCATACTACTATTTTTTGCAGTTTTCTTGGAACAAGGAGCTCAAAGGTATAAGCGTCAGATCGGATTATTAGGAGTACTTCAAAGTCAAATGTCACAACGTATCATTTCACGAGAGGATGACACTACATGTAATGTTATCATTTTATGATTCTCTTTTTTATCTTTATATTTTTAATTTTAAATCACATGTTTAACACTTTTTTTTATTCTCCGATCAGGCGGAGTCAATGACGATCATATCATAATAGATGCAACTGCTCCGTCTGATAGGGCATGATCTAGAAAGTCATCTCTTCTTCATACAAGGGTACCTAGTCTAGTTCATAGGCAAAGCCGAGCTTTTTCTGTAGAGATTCGTCGATCTTTGATGGACTGACCGGTGAACCCTGCTTCAAAGCAGCTTCAGACACCTTATGAGATACTATGAGCCTCAATCGTTTGTTGATGTCGACACATTATCCTAGAGTGTTTTGAGATTGTTCCATCATTCGCTTTGGATCATTTATTTAGGTTTAAGCTTGAGATGTCTGGGTGGGGGAGAACCGGCATACAGTAAGGGTCTTATCATCCACATATTGGGGGTTTGTCACTTTTGACACGAACGCACCATTGACATTTTCATCAGAGATTCTTCAAGATTATTCTGAGACACCCAAACCAGGTATTTCTCGTCCTTCTCTCTATTTTTTTCATATAGCAACCAATGTAGAGTACTAGTTAGATTTTCGCTGCAGATACTCATTGGGTGTGAATCCTCGCAACATGGAGATACAGGATAAAAACTCAAGACATTTGCAGAACATCATTTTTGGGTTGTGTGCAGGATCGCCCGAAGCACTGCACCGTTTCCCTTCTGAGGCAAATGTTGTATTGGTCCTCTTGGCTCATTTAGGTTTGGATGACATGGAGTTGACGTAGAGGGATTGTGTCATAATATAGAATTCCTTGTCAGGCAACCGCAGTCATTGGACATGGTAGGATCCAGAGTATCACTCCAAGAACTTCATGGGTGGATCAGAGTTTGTCAAGAAGATGTTGGCTTAGCTCATTACGAGTTCAAGGTGAGCGCAAAAGTTTTATGATGATATCGATATGAACTAGATAGTACTACTGCACATCTTGACAGCGTCACCGCCAGGATGAGTGCATTATGAGGGGAGCTTTCGATTTTCGTAGCTTAAAAATCAAACCTGCAGATAGAGAGAGATAGACTTGATCATTGGAGAGGGAGTAGCACCATTATCAAAATCATCATCAAGCTATGTTAGATGTAGAGACTGCACAAACTCGATCTATGGAGGCTTTATAGAGTGCCAAGACCAAGTATCAATCGCTCACTATCATCATGTTGTAGCTTCATGACAGACAAAATCGACTCACATGATGTGCTTTTCTTTACTACATATATGTCTTTATGTGTTGTGCTTGATGTATTTTCCTTTCATTGTCTTTCAATCACATGTGATCTTTATCCGTTAGTGGAAATATTATTTTTCTTCATGATATGAATTTTGTACGTTATACTTTGTAGCACAGACATGTAAGTATTTCTATTTTGCTTAGCCTCATGAATGCCCTTGTAAAAGGGTCGTCTTTTTTTAAGTCACCTTAATTTGTTGTCTAGTTGAGAAATTTTTTTGAATCTAGATCACCTAACTTCATGGACTGTCTTGTGTTTTTGTAATCGTTACACTGACAATTGGGGCCGTTAATTATGGCCTTAGCTTATTGAGTGAAAAGAAGAACTGTAACTCGGTCACATACAAGCTTATTTAGTTCGACCTCCTTTCAAGTCCTAGAATTTAACCAACAAATAGACTTGTGTTTTGTCATCGTCAGACTGACATGACAAATGGGGCTCTCCGCTACGACCTTGGCTTATGTTATGACATAAAAAATTGGGGCATTTACATACATACAATCCAATTCCTAGATATTTACATATATAGCACCCCAACTTTGCCTTTTTACATTTATGCCCACCCAGATCTTTCATATCACATAAAAAATACCATCACTTTAACTTTTTAAAAGCGAAAATCACTTTTTCATGCATCGGTAATGCAATATGTATTTGAAAATTGAAATTTAGGTGTTAGAAATGTAAACACATAAGAATTGACTGGTATGTATGTAAAGCTTCCAAAAAAATTGCTAACAAACCAAACATACCACAAATATGTAACAAGCTCAACACAAACAACATGTTTTGCTTGCTCTAATGCTTCATTTATCATGTGTGTAGAAATGTAATTCATTTTGCTAGGGAAAAAAAAGGTGCACCAAGTGCATTAAACTACTATTAAAACAAGAACTAATGAAGGAACGATGCATACAACCCTATCCCTGCCGTTGCAAAAAGAGTTTATTTAGATGATTCAAACCAAATACCTCTACATCAAAATAGAGGCAATTAACCACCGCCCAAAATCCGTCATTTATGTACATAAAACCAAATATTCTATACAAGAATTATATAATACAAAAAATAAGCTATAAAATAACAACTTGAACGGTCACTACAGCATTCCTTAAGATGTAAATTTTATCTTATCAAAATAAAGATAATTGAGATCAAATCCCCATTAAAACAATTATGTGACTTTAAGATGCTTCCAGCAAAAGACTTCTTTTCCAGCAAGATGGAAAATGATAAATTCCTGAGATAATTACAATTAACCATCATAAAGCACCGTAATTTCACAATGTAAAGCTTTGAAAGCAATATCCCTCTATATTTCGCTCCCACCATTCATGTGTAAATTAAAGATTGACCTTTAACTAACCTTTGAAGAACAGGAAGAACATTCTCTATGTACCAGTTAGCTGACGCATGAACTGGTGTGGTTTTGATCCTTGTGGCCCGAATGGCAACAGCATAATACTCCCTCGTGCTCCATTCATATTCTGGGGGCAACTCTCTGACTACAGAGATTTCATCTTTCAAAACATTAATGAAGTGATCCACATCAAAGATTTCCTCAAAGGAGCTGCAAAACCACATTGATTTATCGGTACTGTTTTTATTAAACTAAGAAAATAACTAAAAAAGAGCCAGAAAAACATAGCTTAGCCCAAACTACCTTGAATCTTGCCACACAGGATTTACTTCAAGATGAGGGATTACTAGGGTTGCATTTAAGATTTTAGCAACAGCTACAGCATCACAAATCTACATAAGAAACATTTTTTTATATAAAAATTTAGTCACATAATTCATTTTCCAAAGAAACATCTTGAAGAGAGAACACAACAACAATGATTCCATAAATTTTTCTTAATTACATATTAAAAGACCAGCCTACCCCCATCCTTTGCTGGTTTAACCCTCCATCAAGAAACACTTGGATAAATCCACTCGACTTCACTGGGCGTCCTAGATGCAATGGGAAAAAATTGCAAATTCAAAGTATTTTAGCAAGATTATCAATTTATTAGTATGTTTACAGAAGTAGTAGATAAAGACCCAGAAAAGTTTTATGAGCTTAATTTTGTTCAGGTTGTGAACAACAGTTACCAGTAATACTTTCTGAAGGAGCGCAGGGTTTCCATCCCTGAGGTACCAAAGGAGCCCAGAGTTCAGACTTTTGCTTATTGGGCTGAAAAAAAATTAAAATAAGAAAATCAGCGCCAGCTAAAACACACGAAAAAACAAATGTGGATGCTGAACTCACAATTTCAGAATTCAAAGCAGCTTTCAGAAGAGAAGCGTGTTTTGGTTTTGGAGCATTCCACTCCTGCAAGAAAGAACAATTTCTCTTTGTGAAGGTATGATAAATAATATATAGTTATTTGAACCTATTGTGGACATCATGGATTTATTCATAAGATATAAAACAAAGATGAGCTGCCTATATGGGAGTTAAGAAATTGCAGTGTCTACATAGAGCTTTTATATATAAATGAATAAATACAAACATCATCGACAATAAATGCATAAATCATGGTGTACTCAAAAAGCTAAGGTGCACAAAAACAGATTTTCAAGGTAATTGAGCACAAAATTCAATTAATACTCATTCTTTCCTTTTTCTATCTTCTAAACTCAAAGGAATTGTTTGGTACAAGCTTACTAATCATCTTAAGTCAGCTTAAGTCTAGTTTCTAAACCAAACACAATTTTGTGTATTTTCTTAAGACAGGCCCCAACAATGCGGCTTTATCTTTGCTTAAGGAGAAAAGCAAGGAAAAGTTAAGCGCCATTTTAACCAACTTAAGCAACTTAACGCACATGTGTCTAACCACTCGATCCCGTGCTACAAGGCAGATGCACTCAGGCGGGCTCAAACCCGTAACTCCAGGGGAATTAAAACTAGCTTCGCAGATGCCAGCCAAAGAGTCCCAGCGAGCGGCACATAAATAAATCAATATATATATATATATATATATACACACACACAATATAAGTATATCTTTTATCTTCTTATTTATCACTGCTTAAGAGAATAATTCTTCTACATCTTTGGCTTTTATATTCTTCTATCAACCTCTCATGGTATCAGAGCAGGTTCATTGAACCTTGGCAACATCCTTTCCCAGCTACCTAGGAACGCCAGAAGAAGACTGTCCGATATAGCTCCTATTTTCCATGCCACTATCTGATAAGATCCTTCCTCTTCCCCCAACATGATGGCAAATTCCAAAGCTTCTGAAACAGAATGAATTCTTCTGTTGAATCCATTCATACTACCGCAATACCACCAACTCTCAAATTTCTTATGAGTAACATCAAAAGACTACTTCAAAATCCATTATCAGCAGATAATTTTTCCTTATGGAAGACCCAAATCACTAAAATATTCACAACAAATAGATTTTTTTGGTTCCTAGATGGCAACAACTTTCTACCTTCCAAATTCCATTTTCCTACAGCACCCTCACCAACCTCAAACCCCCAAGATACCACTTGGTTGTTGATACACCAAAATCTGTCTGTGGCAACCATATCTCCAACCAACCTACATAATGTGCTCAATCTCACCACCACGACAGATATCTGGTCCACTCTCGTCAAGAGATGACAATCTACCAATAGGTCGCAACTAATCCAGCTCAAGAATGAGTTGCACTCTTTGTCTATGAAATCCTAGCTACGACACAATATTTATCCATTGCAAAAGCTTTGGTGAGTAACATTTCTGCAACATGAGGTTATCTTGATGAAGAGGATATCATCCTCTATACCCTTAATGGTCTACCGACACAATATTAAGCATTCAAGACTGCAATCAAGACCCAAATTTAGCTCTTAGAATTGGATGATTTCTATTCTCTCCTCTGTAGTGAGGAAATTAATGTAGAAAAAGATAATTTGAAGGCCGAAACTCTACCCAAAACCACGTTAGCACTTCTGGCTTCTAGGTGAAGCAACAACAACTATATAAGAGGCTGTTGAAGAGGATCATCATTCCAAATAGGTAGGGAGTGAGGAAGACACAGCAAAATCAGATCAATGGTCCCTTACCAAATTTGCAACAAATTTGGGCATTTGAATGCTACCTACCGGCACTAAACTAATCTCGATTACACACCTTCCCTAAATCAGGTCCTCCATGTTTCAAATTAAAACTAGATTCTCGATTATGGAGCTAATGCTCACATGACATCAAACCTAAGCCATCTCCAAACTACAACACCAACTCAGGGATCCTAGCAGGTTATTGTGGGTAACGGTCAGCAGGTATCAGTGCAACATAAACACCTATATGTAAGCTAAACTTAATTCAAATTTGGCATGCCCCCTCCCTATCTCACAATCTCCTCTCGGTTCGTAAGTTAACACGAGACAATCAAGTATAAATTCTTTTCAATTATATCGGGTTTACCATTTTTTATCCACAGATACTTAGGGCTTTTCTTCGTGGTCATAGCTCTAAGGAGCTCAATCTGCTCAATGTCGCTCAATCGAAGACATCAGCTCATCAAGCTCTTAACATCTTCCTCCTCCCACCTTCAACATGGCATCGACGTCTTGGACACTTGTATCAAGCGTTCTCAAGCTTCTTAGCAAACTATATCATATTTTAGAAATTCAATCCGCTCTACAATCATGTAATAGTTGCAATTTTAGTAAAATTCATAGACAATTTTTCCTAGTGCTTCTTTACATGAGTATGATTGCCTCCAACTTATACATACTGATGTATGGGATCCATCCTCTATAATATCTCATTAAGGATTTAGCTACTATGTTATTTTCATTGACAACTTCTTGAAATTCTGCTGGTTTTTTCAATTGTTGCAAAAATTGATGTGACAGCCAAATGCATAGCATTTATAAACATGATTAAAAACCATTTCATGACGGCCATCACTTATCTAAGATAGGATGGTGGAGGGGAATTTATGGTTTCTATTATTGCCAATTTCTTAACTGAAAACAACATCACACAAGAACACTTTTGTCCATACACCCCGGAACAAAAAAATATTGCGGAATGCAAACTTCATCACTTAATTGAAACAACTTAAGTCCTTCTAGCTGATATCTCTTCCATCTCAATTTTGAGTAGACACACTCCTTACAACAACCTACCTTATTAATCGAATGCCTTCTAGAAAAACCCATAGTGTGTCTCCATATGAGCTATTGTACCAATACAAGCGTACATATACACATCTCAAAGCATATGGTTGTGCTTGCTACCCGTGGATGAAGACACAAACCAATCCTCTACCAACACGACAACAAAAACTGCATCTATCTCACCTAACCATAAAGGCACCCATGGATAAAGCGACAAACAACACAAAAATTGACTCCAAGGTCAACTTGTTTCATTTTCTTAGGGTACTCACCTAACCATAAAGGCTACAAGTGCCTTCATCAACAAATGGGAAAGATTATTATCTCGCGGCATGTCACCTTTGATGAACAATCATATACATTTGCTCTCAATCTACTAGCATCTCTCATACCAACTATTACTATCAATCCTCTAGTTCATACCTATGATTCCTAACAACTCTTCAAACAACACAACTACAGCAAAAAATGCATCATCTCACTACCTTCTTGCTCCATACATTAGCAAACTGAAACATCCCATACCTCCCTTCCTCTCCATTTCAAAGTGCGATATATCCACCTCACCCAATGTAAACTCGAGCCAAAATAGGCAACCTGAAACCTATCCACCGTCTGAACTAATCCCATCAGCTAGAAGCCCCTTGATCCCCCATGTTATACCCAAGCTGTGAAATGTTCCAACTAGAGGTAATCCATGAATGAGGAATTTCAAGCACTGAAAGCCCAAGCTAGTTGGGAATTGGTACCATTACCTGCTAACCAATCAATTTTGGACTGCGGATGGACTTATTGTACCAAATTTAACTTTGACAGGTCAGTAGCCAAATACAAGGACTGATTGGTTGATCAAGAATACAAACAAGATTCGGGAGTCAATTACCATGATACCTCTAGCCCGGTTGCAAAAATGCCTCCTCTTTGAATGTTATTTACTATAGCGTGTCTGGCATATTTTTTAGTTTGAAGTAGCAAATTTGTTTCTACATGATTTTTTAGGAGAAACTGTTAAAATGCAGCAACTCATTAAATTTATTGATCCCCAACTTCCGAATCACGTTTGCTTACTCAAAAAGACCATCTATGGCTTTAAACAATCTCCTCGGCAATGGTTTACCACGTCTCAGCTTTCTTCATAGATCTAGGGCTTGAATACAAAAAATATGACCCATTTTTGCTCATTTCCAAACAACCTACTCGTAGCATATATTTTCTTCAATATGTTGACGATATTTTGAATATAGGAGAATGGAATCTATCGTTGAAGAGTTGAAAAACATCATGATTCCAAATTTCAAATTAAGGATTTGAGACATGTATCCAGAGTTTTGGGATTGAAATCACTCACACCAATTAATTTCTTCTCCTGGGCCAACAAAATCTATCTTCAAAAGCTTCTGCACACAACAGGCATGCATGGATGCAAGCTTGTGTCTACACAGCTTCCCTTAAAGCTCAACCAACAACCAGAGGAAGAGCCAACAACTTGCAGGAAAACTTACTGGATCACTACAATATCTCACAATAACCAGACCAGACATCTCTTTTGTTGTCAATCAGCAACCAGAGGAAGAGCGAACGATTTACAGACAACTCACTGAATCACTACAATATCTCACAATAACCAGACCAGACATCTCTTTTGTTGTCAATCAGCAATAAGAAGTAGAGCGAACGACTTACAGACAACTCACCAGATCACTATAATATCTCACAATAATCAGACCAGACATCTCGTTTGTTGTCAATCAACTTTCCTACATATGCATAACCCTTCAACATACCTCCATCAATTATTTAAATCTTTATTTAGTTATCTACAAGGTACAGCCCACAAAGGTATTCTTATTACATCATCGAACTTTGTTTGGGCAGTTGATTCTACAAGCTATAGGTCCATCACAGGTTATTGCTCGTACTTAGGTACCACTCCAATCTCGTGGATGGTTAAGAAGCAACATATATTTGCTTGGTCATCAACGGAAGCAGAATATTGTGCCCTTGCAATAGCAACAGCCGAAGTCATATGGTTACGACGTCTTCTACAAGATTTTTACATTCCTTAATTACTGCCTACCAAATTATATTGTGATAATCTCTCAGCCATTGTCATCACAAATAACTCGGTGTTCTATGTTCGCACGAAACATATTAAAATTGACTACCACTTTATGCCTGACCACATTCAATTAGAAAAGCTACAAATTCACTACATTCACACTCAGGACCAACCGTCTGACATTTTTACCAAACCTCTATCAAAAGAACGATTCAATTAGTTGAAATCCAAATTGATGGTGTGGTCACGACCCATCACCTTGCCAGGGGCTGAAAGCATCAACACGACGGCCTGCAGAAAAGACAAAATTGGTTAGGAATACTTTGAATCCTAACAAAACAAATAAGTTTGTTAAGACCTACATCTAGAATGTTCAATCCATAAACAAAGACACACATAGACACAAACACAGGACACAAACACGGGCACACATACACAAATATATATGTGTGTACATATATATATATATATGTGGTATATATATATATATATATATATCTTATTTATCTTCTTATTTATTACAGTTGAAGAGAATAATTCTTCAACTTCTCTACCTTTTGTATTCTTCTATTCTCCTTTCTCAATTTGGCCCAACAATCTATCCTCTAGAGTCCCATCTTCTCTCATCTCTGACGATCTCTTTTCTTGGACAATGATGATCATGAAATGGTGGCCAAACTATAAAGCACGGGGGCGGAAAACGTGGAAGTGAAGAGAATGCCACATGATCGGTGGGAATGTAAAGATTTTATGTAATAGAATAATATGAAAGGATGCAAAAAAAAATAATTTTAAGATACCAACAAAGTTCCCGTATGGGACAACCACAAAGCTTTACCTATTCATAGTTGTCAAGCAACTCACATTACACTTCATTCAAGTCCACGTCTAACGCAAATCTATCACATATTTATATACATTTGAATACAACTATTTAAAAAAAATAAAATGTAATTCCATGGAGGAAGGAGTTGGCCACATGCTCCTTCATTTTAAATTTTGAGTTCCTTATGAAACCTTGATTTGTGTAATTCCATCAAGTAACATACCTTAAACGGCCGCATGCTTCAAATTCCTTCCAATTTTAAATACTTTTTCCATGGCTTTATATGGCAAGAGAGTGGTTCTTTGATTAATCAATATCAAGCTCCATTGGGGACATCCATGACTCTATGAAGAAGGTGCAATGTTCATGAATATTGAGATCCTTGCTTGATTGATCAAACAATACATATAAGGAAAAAGAAAAATTTTGTCTATGCATGAAATGTCCTCCTATGGATGGAAGCTTGATGCTCCCTTGATCATGATAATCTCACATGAATAGATCTCCTTCGTTTGGAATATTGATGAATACACTGATCAAATCTTCTCGAATAACACAATTAGAAGGACGATCATTTCCCTATGAGTTTTCTTAAGGGCTCTCATCTTGTCCTATACAAATTTGTTATGTCCTCTCCTTTACAGTCTCTAGCCCTTCTCTCTCATACAAGTGTGATTTCCAGTCCCCAAATCCTCATCTTCTAAAATATTTCTTGTGATAATCTTTTCGTCAATTATCTCTTCCCTAGCTAGGGGACTTTTCTTTCTTATAATGTTATAGATATGGTAATTATTTCGTTAATACATGAATCAATACTTGCTTTGCCATTGCATTACATGGCAAATTGTTGAAGGCTCATAACTTTGCATTTATTTTGATTTTTTTATAGGAGGAATTCCTCCTATAAAAAATTCAAAAAAGAGGTGATACTTCTATTGCACTGTGCTTACTCTCAGCTTATCCATAGCTTATCATGATTACTTTTATGAAAATGTTGCATTTTTCCATCAATTTTGTTATTTGTTATATTCAATGCTTATTTGGTGATATTGATTTGCCAAGCCTCAAGTAGTTAAATAAAATATGATAGTGTGGTGATGCATGCTAGGCATGTTTGTAATTCATGAAGTACAAGCGCATCACGATTGGATTTGGGCACATGTTTCCCTACCGCTTAATGTGGATAATGAGAAGATGTTGTTATGTGTACATTATCTTTGATTCTGATTTTATTTGCAAGATGGCTAGTAAAGTAGGAATGGCATACAAAAGCATGAGATCATGTTTCCTATCCCGGTTTAAGGCATGGATAAGATGGATTGGTCCCACTAGCCTTAACCAGCTTCCTATGATGCCAATGTTATATTTATATCATCATTGACTCGGTTTCTATTTTCAAGTACTATTCAATATCATGCTTCTAGTGGTTGGTAAAAAAACATATTTTTATCAAATTAAATAATGTGGATGATAGGATTGATCTTACAAACTTTAAAACGCTTACCAAGATGGATTGGTCACGAACTTTAAATAACTTACCAAATGTTATCCTATAGAGAACTAATAGATTTTCAGTTCCAGCAACATGTAGACTTGATGAGATATGCAATGTTGACTCCTACGAGCCATTAGGAACTTAGAGTGCTCTACTTGAAAGGGATGATAAAGAAGATCAAAGTTTAACATATTTTTGAGACAGAGTGAAAAATTATTAAGTGTGGCTTAATACCTTATTCATTTCCTTAAATTGTTAAATTAAATTGGACTTTGAAGATCTCATAGATTTTCAGTTCAAGCAACATGTAGACATAATGAGATATGCAGTGTTGACTCCTACAAGCCATTAGGAACTTAGAGTACTCTACTTGAAAGAGATGAAAAAGAAGATCCAAGTTTAACATATTTTTTAGACAAAGTGAAAAATTATTAAGTGTGGCTTAATACCTTATCCATTTTCTTAAATTGTTAAATCAAAGTGGACTTTGAAGATGGCCACCACCTCATTAAACACGTGATCCACTTTTCTTTCATTGGGATGTGTGCATCAATATATGGAAGTGGTTCTTTAATTCAAGTGGGATTTAGTAAATCTTGTATGTCTGGATTTAGTATATCCTATGTTGATTAAGTCCTGAAAAACTCTTTGGTGAAATTGTTTGGCAATTTCCTCAGGATTTAAATATGTTAATTCAAATATGATTTCAGTTTTAAGAAATAATAAAAAAATTAAAAATTAAAATTAAAAAAATATTATTTAAATTTTAAAAATTAATGATGCAATTATTAAGGCTAATTAAGCTTAATTTAAAATTGTAATATACCTAGTTATCTTAACCAAGAATTAATAAGTTAATAAGGTAATTAATCATTAGTAAAAGTTTCACTAAACTAATAATCATTCATAAGTAATTTACAAAGTTAATTATGTACAGTTTTCATATAGATAGTATTAATTTAATGACTATTTAGTATAATATAAGATAACAATTAATCATTAATTAGCAATCTATTAATTACCATTACCTTAGCCTATTTCAATTTTAACTAAATTAACTTAATGACAATTAGAATAAGATAACATATCAATTAATCATTTAGTAATTTATTAAGATAATTAAATAAAAATTTATATTTATTTAATTTATTATAAAGTTGAATTACACTGATTATATTATAATTTGCCTAGCATAATATTCTAAATTGTAATTGGTTAAGAATTTATAAATTTAATCAAACATAGGAAGCAGGATTTAAACTTGAATTAAATCGTAAATAAAATTTATTCAGTTAGCTTAATATTTTTTAACCAATTAATCTAAATTTCAAAATTAATTCATAAATTAAAATTATAATTTAACCTCAGCGCACCTAATAATCAAAACCCCTCTTTTGAATTCTCCTTTTGTTTCTTTCTACCCAGAACCTCACATAAAAATAAGGAAGTCGCGACGAGAGCTTGCTAACTAAGGCATTCATGAGATTGTGGCATCTGAAACTCGATTCCCAGAATAAAAAAGAAGCAAAGAATTGGCTGCATGAACTTGCTAGCAAACTCATTGTCCTTCTATTTCTCTAAACTTTTTAAATCCACCAAACGACAGGATTTAGTAAATCCTTGATTTAGCCAACAATAGAGAAAGAATGGAATTTAAATTATGTAGGATTTATTTTGGCCTTCTTCTTGACAATTTGCAGAATTTAAATCAAATCCGGCTTAATCCCTGTCTAAGAAAGCTGCTGCAAAATAGCCCCTTAAGTTTTCTTCTTCTTCTTTTTGTCCATGTGCTCTTCTGAGAATTGTAAAAAAACAATTGAATGCTCTTGATTTAAGACATTAAGATTATATCTTCTTAATTGTATATGGGATCCTCTCTACTATACAAGCTTAGTTAAAGACAAACCACAAACATATTCCTGCTTCTGTGACTTCTTTTCTTCTCTTTTTGTGTTTATTTCTATCACAGCACTTGACCTTGATGATGCTTCCACTCATTCTTATCTGACGCATTGTTACAACAAATCTCCTGATTAATATAATCATAGCATAGCACCAACACTTTTAAAAATAGATCAATCAAAGTATTCTATAACAAACATTATAAGAAAGCACTTAAATCCACTTAAATCACTCAGTTTCATAATTCCACGAAATCAAAACCGCAAAATCAGAACCAAGGCACGGACGTATGAACTCACCGAGAACATGGAAGGAGATGCATGACCGAGCGGTGAGAATAGCGCGGGCCACAACGCCGGAAAGAGCAGCACAAGAAGAGCGGCGTACACCGCGCCTCTCTGAGAATGGTACTGGTAAAAGAAAGACTTGGTCATGTTCCCAAATCGTCTCTATCAAGCTCGCAACTTTGGCTCCAAACCCTAATCTTCGTCCCCGACAAAATGATCGGTGAAGGCGAAGCTCGATATCTCATTGAAGCCGCCTGCCATTCGCTCCTCTATATCTCCCCTCTCTTTCTCGCTCTGGCATTCTGTCGAACAGAACGCTAGCTATAGCTTTCGCGGACACTTCTCGGCGGGTACAGATAAGTCAGTAACTGTTGGGTTGTAAATGGTTTAGAATACTGTTTGCTGTTTGGACTGAGTAGCTTTTGAATAGCTTTTAAGATGATCACCGACCGGGGAAAGTAACCGTTGAGCCAAACTGGTTCGAGCCGCGGCGCATTAAAACCGGTTTAAAACGAACGCCTCTTATCGATTTTTTTTTTTAAAGGTACCCCTTTTTTTCATATATTTATTTTTTAAAAAAATAAAATAATTGATTTTAATGTTATATAAAAGTTTTGGGAGGTATAAATAAATAAATAGTTTGGATGTTAGATAGGTAAATATATAAAAATTAGGTGGTATATATATAAAAACTCTTTTTTTATCATAATTTCTCGTCTTATAATTAATTAGTCAAAATAAGGATCTGTTTGGAGCAGCTGTAGCTTATCCAGCTTATCCAACTTTATCAAAACGTCGCCGTACTTTTAAGTTGCCCCCAAACTGACTCTAAGGGCCCATTTGGCGCAGATTATTTAGGTGCGGCGGCGTTTTCAAAACGTCGTATTCGTGTTTGCAACCTGCGTTCACGCGGATTATAACCGTCGCAGTGTGTTAACTTTTGTGAATCCTTCATTGTTTTGTGACGCGGGGTGGGGGCTGCGTCCCGCGTTCGGCTGGTGATATTGCCCTAGTTGCCCCTCTTCTCCCTCGCGCTCTCCCTCCTTGGATTCGTCCCCCGTAGAGGAGATCGAAGAGTTTCCTTTCGATTCGTCCCCCGTCAATCGCAAAGTATGCTTTCCCTCACCGTCAATTCGTAAGGAATGCTTCCTCTAGAGCAATCGAACGTCGGTGGCCGTAAATGGTTCTTTGTTGATGCGCGAACGTCGTTTATTTGTATAAACATCGGTCGGAGTGGTTCAACAACTCAGAATGTCATGGTTGTATGCGACTTCAACATGTGTTTTACTTTTAATGGCGGACTGGGAATGGAGTGCACATTACAGTCGGATTTTCTCATTTGCCACTAGGAATAAATCACAGTGTTTCTCTCACCCCCCATCAGGTTAGTTTTGTTTTGCAATTTGTTTATTTGAGCATGCAATCTTTTTACTTAACAGTGTTTTTCGTATTAAGAAAATATTATCTGGTTGATGTCGGGTATCATGTGCAAAGGGGATACATGAAGCCCAATCCTGACATAAGATATCATCTTCCTGATTTTGAGAGAGCAAGTAACACCATCCGTGGCAGAAAGGAAATGTTTAACAAACGTCACTCATCTTTACGCGGGGTAATTGAAAGAACATTTGGGGTTTAGAAGAAGAAATGGGTCATCCTACGTGATATGTCGCCGTATCCTTTCCAAAAGCATGTGTATATTGTGGTTGCAACAATAACACTGCATAACTTCATTCGAAGACATTCCTCACGATCAGATACAAATTTTAGTATGGCTGACAAAGTATGGTTTAGTAAGGCTGACAATGACGAACTGAAGGTCTTCGACCAAAGTCCTGGAATTGTGGGTGGGAGTTCATTACCTGAGGATGATGTAGACTAAGGAATTTGGAGATCAGGAAGGCGAATGTTTGACTGATATAATTGCTTTAAGGGAGTCTATCACAGATGTTATTTGTGGTTGTTGATCTACCAAGTTTTCATTTAATAAGGTTATATGTTGATATTCATATGTATTTAATTTTGGTTACTTTTAAAATACCTTAAACCGACATTGATTCTTTTATTATTTTCGCAGTTATACAAACATGACTTCCAGGATATCAGGTACGGACAAAGGGATTTTGTGTTATTGTGGACTACCGTCTCCGTTGCCTACGTCACGTAAGGAGCATAGCTTTGGGAGGCAGTTCTATGGTTGTGCGAGAGGTGTTTCAGGTTTTTCAGCCCGTTGGGCTTTCTGCCGGTTGGCTGATAGTCCCACATATTACACTGTCAGTAGCCATGCCAGCAGTCATGTGAATCCGATGTTTTCTCAGGCTGACCGTTCAGTTGAGTACCGACGTAACCAGAGTCTTAAGTTAAATATTTTAATATTTCTCCTTGTTGTTGTACTTGTATTTGTACTTTTTTTAGTTCTCCTGGTACTCGTTAGGATGTATCTTTTAGAACATATCTTTTAGAACATCTCTGTCATTATCGTATGTTTCTGCACTATATGTTTCTTTTCTACCAATAAACTATTCTGAATGAACTGTCACAAACAGTTTTATCAGACAGGGGCACGAATGTCATTTAATCACGAATAAGTTAGTCTGAATAAGCCGCCCCAAACAGCAAATTAGATTATTCTGATAATCTGCAGATTATCAGACAATCGGAATAATCTGTTTATCAGCATATTATAAATAATCCACAAGTGTATAAATTACTTTACCTTCAACTGTTTTTTTTATATTTCTTATTTGTCTTATGCTCATCAATGACTTGTAAAAAAAACTCATTTAATTAATAGCACAAAACTTCCGTACAGAAAAAATGAGCGCCCACTAATTAGCTCCTCGATAAGATCAAACTTTTAGTAAAATTCATCCAATTTCTAACACAATGTATTTAAAATTTTCAAATTTACTTTAGAGAAAATGTAGTTTGAATATAATAAATGTAATGTCATTTTGATGATATTTAGTCAAAATATTCTGATAAAATATTTTCAAAGATATCATACATATTTGTCATATAAATATATTTTAAATCTGTGATCGTTTGGACCAATGAGCCAGATATTAGAAAAAATATTACATTGAGAGTCCTGATGTATAATTACATCAAGACTCCAATAAAAATGTGTCACGTTACATGACGGACCGACTAAATACAAAAAATTTTATAATTAATGCTTTAATGTATGGTCGCCTCCTCCGGACACGTGGCTTACTTTTATTGCAGTCCTGATTCGGTTATGCATCAGGACTAATGATATAATATTTTTTCTCTTTTGAGCTAAAAATTATTTGACATCATTTATGAATCATTTTTAATCCATGTTTAATAAAAAATGTTATTTGTCAATATGCAAACATATTTTGAGAATACAAAATAAAATAAATATAAGATATGTAGGAAAGTCAATGTTATTTTCATGATTGTCTTACATTTGATTTAAGAAAATACACATTTAAGTGAATGTATATTTTAAATTTGGAGCATTTACATACAAATCACATAATTTTAAGTATATAGCACCTAAACTTTTATGTTTATATACAAAGTTGTTATTTCCCGCATATTAGATATTAATAGTAATGATTGTCATCTTAGTAATCCATGGGCGACATTAAAATGGTATTTAGGTATGTTAGATATGACTCATATACTATAAATGGACAGTGCTAAATCAGGAGCCGAGCAGAGCAGAAGACTTTGTCCAAATCAGAGAAGTTTCCTTATGTGGGTTGGGATTATGGTACAAGGATAATTTAGTAGTTACATATTGTACCCAATCTTTCTTTTTATGTTCTTTCTAGGATTATAAATATGTTTGTATGTAACCCTAGGTATTACAGCTTATATTCTGGATTTTGTATTTTTCTGGATTAGTAAAAAGGTCGCCGCTCTGCTCCCGAGGACGTAGACATCTTTGTCAAACCTCATTAAATCTTTGTGTTCCTCTGGATTTGTGTCGTTCTTATTTTTATTCGCCCTAATTTCTCAACAAGATAATAGTTTATTTTCTCAAGAATATTTTTATGATCGAAATATGTATGAAGCTATCTTACTCTCTTTAAAATAAATAGAAATTCAAAATAGTTATGATGAAGAAAACAAATATACTACATATAATAAAGTCATTATTCATCGAATCCTTAATCATAAAGTGTGGACTATCACTCTCTATCAAATTAAGACTATTGAATATAAAAGTCCATAATCTAATTATCAGAGAACACATTTGTTTAATTATAAGACTTATATTAGAGCAATGGGAAAAAATGTTTTTTTTTTTTTTTTTTTTTTTTTTTTGCACTCAATCTTCATAGAAAAAAAGCATTCACGAATATTCGCCATGATGATAATTTTTTTATAAATAGAGAATATTTCGAGGATAAATAATTATGGATAACAATAGCTCTAGTTGTATATTTAAAATTGAAGTTCATGTCTGAATGTGTCGGAGATGTATGATATAGGATTTGATTAGAATTTAGTTGAACATTTGTTATAGGTTCATTATTTATTTCTTCATCAATTATTCTTTCTAATATTGAAGAAGAAGAAGGACGGATGCAGATGATAAAGATATGATGGCTAAAGATCAAGATGTCTAGGGATAAATCAAACTTCTACTTCTCCTTTTGTATTGTGAGTAATTGGGTATATATCTTGATTGACAAGGAGTTTAGAATTTGCACTTGATGGTATAATCTACAAATCTGAAAAACAAATTCTTCATGTACCAATAAAAACGAAATATTCTGAATGGTTTGAATCTTCTTCTTATATTTCAAGATTCCCAAGTGACATATGGTCAAATTGAATTATATCTTTTTTACACAATGTTAAAACCAGTGGATCTAGTGTTGGAATATAGAAATTTAGCATAAATCATTAAATTGAAAATATTTATTTTGATATTTTATAGTTAAGTGGTGGATAGCTATTAGAATATAAAAAAAAAAATGTTACATTGATTGATAAAATAATCCTTATAAAAAATCTAAGCATCCAAAAAATCCTTCTAAAAAAGAAATTTCAATAAAATCATTGCACCATCAACTTAGAAGAAAATTTAAGAACGAATTAGCCACAAAAATTAAAAAATGAATACAAAAACAACTTACTAAATATTTTTCAGAATAAGAAGAAAAAATAAACCAGGATGACAAGACATATGGTTAAAGAGATGTACCAGAAAACTGTGGTGGCATATACATGACAATCATTCAAAAAAAGAAAATTCACTAGCATGAAAGTCAACAAAGTGACCCCACCACTAATTACCATACCAATCAAGCTCTATTTTTCAGCATAATACATTTTTCAACAAATTGCTCCATTATT